GATGAAGCTGGAACGATTGCTTATTGTCCTTTACTTTCTTGCAACATTATGCAAAATGTTAGAGCTACCCTTGCATAATTTCTATCTGCTAAATTAAATTGAAACCCTATTCCTCCCAGCTTTCTTTCTAGTTCACACATTTGTCCTGAATAATCACATCAAAAAAATATTGCTTTGAGTACCAAAAGAGCATTAAATATATGAAATGTTTATCTCACATTTGTAACACAAGGCATACGTTGAACTAATCAGGGAAGAGAAATGGCAGAAGTACATTGTGAATTCAAGGAGCAACATATTTACAAATTTTCTTTCAATGAATATTTTGCCATATTTGCTTAAAAGGCACAATTTTAGGATTTCTACCAAGAAAGAAAAAGCAGACCTTATAGCTATACCCGTGGCATAGCCACTGCAAGTACTCTGCACTGTGTGCCTGTATCCCTGTGTAACTACAGCACAGCAGGTCGCTCCCTGCACAGAGGTTTTGTTTTCAAGTGCCAAAGTCAAAGCAGAACTGCTGCTGGCACAGAAAGCAAATCTATGGACGTCAATTCGGGGACACTGCAGGTTGTGCATCTGACACTGGGCATGGCACATGGCACGCCAGACACCACCGAGCTCTCAACTCGCTTGACCTGGGGAAACTCAGTAACTTTACGTTCGTTATTATTTGTACAGGCTGTTTCCCATCTGCTATAGCACTGGGCAGGCTAACAAACAACATGAAGCGTGAAAGTGCAATAGGAGCTGCTAAATTTCTGCACTTCAGAAATAAAAAGCCAGAAAGGAAAACCTCAAGAAAATGCAAAACTGCATTTCAACCTGGAGTTCAGCTCCAATCAGAAAATGACCGCTACCTCTTCCCCAGCATGACTTTTAAGCATTCAAAGCACAAACTCCTAGTGTGCTGCCTGAAAAGCCCAGGCATAAAGTTTATCCTTTAATTTGAGGCTTTGTCATTTGACCAGGGGGAGGTAATCAGGACAAGGCTCTGGACCATGCTGCTCAAAATACGACAACAGACACACCAAAAATCCAAGCTGGCTGCCAGAAGCAATTAAAGCAGTGTTTACTATTCCATGACAGTTAACATGTTGGACTGACCTTTCATTTACTGTTTAGTACTGAACATTAAGCTGCAAAATTACCCATGCTTTGCATTTAGTGCTGGCATCAAAACTAACAGCATTAGATAGCTATTCCCACGTTGAGACACACATTCCCTCTGCCTAGCTGTGCATGTACTTTTATAAGCAGTGTATTTTGGTATTTAACATCGCTTCCACGGGTTATATTTACCCGTTACCATTTAGGAATTATTGGTAACACTGCTCCAAAATGTAAAAAAACATATGGAAAACGTCCAGGGTGATGCAGCTGGTAAAATTACGTCCCTGCCTTGCATGCTGGGAGAGATAAAAAGGGAAGGCTGGTGTATGCCCACAGGTCCCCACGGCAGCTCCCAGCCAGATGGCAAAAGTACAGAAGCTATGGAGGAAAAGTTTCTTTGTTTATTCTCCTTCTAGCTGCTCGCAGCAGCCACGTTATAAAGGGAGGCACAAGATGCGTTTCGCCAGAGCCTGGCAGCCCAGCAGTTGGAATATTCTCTCCGAAATGGGCAATTTTCCATTCAGCACCCTCCGGCTGAACCTGGGCAGGAAAGACTTGAGTTTCTGTTCCCTGGAGGTGATGCTCTCATCGAGAGGTTACAGATGAAAGGGAGAGGTCAACTGATCTTAGTGCTGTGACTATATAAAATTATGGTTAATTTCTATCCTTAGCTGCCTGGCCAGACACTTGGCATGCCCAGGTCTTTGCATTTTAGAATCATAGAATAGCTTAGGTTGGAAAAGACCTTTATCACCGAGTCCAACCCCCAGCAACGCCAAGTCCACCACTAAACCACACCCCTCAACACCACATCTACACCTAACAGCAGAGTGAGGATTTTTGGACACCACATCTACACCTAACAGCACAGTTAGGATTTTTGGGTCACAGGTTGCCAATACAGGTTGTTCAACCCCGGTGCTCTTTCCAGCTCTTAACGTGTGGTGCTGTCCTGCTGTGGATGCTGCACCTCAAAACACTGACAATCCTCCTCCTCCCATCCTTTTTTCACCTCTGCCTGGAGACATCTCTAAACCTCTGTTGGTTACATCTTTGTTGAGACAGAGCAATGGGCACTATGAACGGACAGTCTGTGAATACCACAGTAACAACTGGTTCATATCCAAACCGGAACATTAATAAATACAAATATATTAAGGGATTCCCTGTCATTTTGTGGTGGAATTTTTTTTTTTCATATTCATAGTGGTTATTTATATCTAAATCTCTATTTTCTGTATTGTGACTGTAGTTATCTGGTTTATTTCCCCCAGCTCAAATATTCCCAACTGCAGATTCAAAAGGGCAAATTTTCAAAGGCCGCTCAGCATGCTAATTATGATAGAATCGCTGCCGATTTGATCTTGCCTGCTTCTTTCTTACTATTTCTAGATGGGTGTTTTGTGCAACCAATATGCCAGCTCAATGGTCAAAATTATTATGAGATTGCTGATATAGGGCAACTCAGTGTATTTTAAAATAATCAGTATCATTTTGTAAAGAAAGAAGAAGCCTAACAAACAAGGTTGTAATTGTATTTAATGCACATTTTGCTTTTAACAGCAAGTTGCCAGTTTCAACAGCATAGACCTTACAATGCTTAATGAGCGAAGAGGTTATAATGTTTATAAACTTGTACCTAAAATATAACTTACTCATTCTCCATCAAACAACATTTTAAAGACAATCTAATGTTATAATTACGGGCTATACAGTAGCAGCATGTTCACACCACTACAGTTAAGGCCGTGTCAGCATTCTCATTGTGAATCTTTTTCAGGGTTCGAAAACATCAGCCATTACATTACAGTGTAGTTTGAAAAAATATGGCATCCAAAATGTGAATCCTGTATTGACTTGAGTCAAGTAAGAATAAAAATAGTAAACCACATGTAATAAAGGACTCCACCCAAATGTATTTTGGATGATTGCTGCCTTTGCACAACATGCTCCAAATTTCCAAAATGAAATTTAAAAGAAGTTAGTGAGCAGCACAGTTTAATCAGCTTTAGATGAAACTGAGTGCAAAGTGTTGTAGAGCGAGTGCACAATAACCACTTGCCACATACTGCACATTTTAACAGACACAAGGTTTCTTCTGTGTAAATATTCAGACTGGTGGGTAAAAGCGGTTCTACCACCAAGTGAAGAATAAAAACTACTCGTCTCCAGTTGTATACGCTTATCAGCTGTGATGAAACTAAACTGCTTACCGAGTCAGCACACTGGCTACTGAGGTACCATGTTACTCCCTACATTTAGGATAAGAAACATCCAAACTTTTATGCCATTCACGCCCCAATAATTCAAAGGGGACTCCTGATGCTGCCCACCAAGCTGAAGCTATTTGTTTAAGTAAAGGAGGCAGATGAGGTCAAACACTGTATGGAAAGGGACCCAACAGCTTCTCCAGTGAAATGACAGAGACCACGTGAAGAAACTCACCCTTGGGTCATGCCCTACCAGCTTCCTGGGTTTATTAATAAAACACTTCTTATTTCCATATGGTTTGAATAAATGAAAATCTCTTGTCAGGGATCTACTTAAACATGTTCTACCTCTGCTTAAAGCAAAGCACATCTGTAAGTGCTTTCCTGAAACGTTACCCAATGAAAGTGTGCTTCAGATGCTGAATTGTCATGGAACCACGATGAGCTGATGTAACTCTGTGGAGCTACAGAACCAAGCTCTTCATACGTCATTATCCTATTAGTTTTACACTTCCCCTTTCAAGAAATTTTCTGACCACCTCCTCCATTATAAACGCTTTTGGAAGCACTCCACTGCACACTTTTCAGACTTAGAGATCAGCATGTAAGACTGGAAAAAGAGTTGCCTACTTCAAGCTTTGTGTACAACGCATACACAGATTTATTAACAAAAACTTGTCTAAACATCCATTTGTTCTTTGGACCAACTCCAGCCCCCTCTGGTGACTGTAACGTGTCTTACAAACCTTTCATGGAAGATTTAGAAAACAGTACTTCAGGACAAAAAAAGGGAAACAAATACATTAAAACATCGTCAACAGAGACGGAAGAGGAAAAACAAAGCGGAAACATCCCACACCAAATTCACTGCAGGCACAGGCTAGCAGTGTCCTCTTGCTTTCTGCCTTCTTGCACAAGTTCTTTTAACTCATGGTCTTAAAAGGGAGCTGCAGAGCCAAGAGGAAATTCCACATATGCCCCCTAATAACGAGTCACACAGTAAAATCCTTTTTCTAAAGAAGGGAACTGATTAGCACACAGCCTACTGCAGCTCTTTGTCCTGTGAGACTGGATATATGCACAAGCACCTGTAAAATAGGAATAACAGTATTTCTCTATCTCAGAAAACTGCTGTGAGAACGACTGCGTTTATGGTTGCCTTGACCATAGTTATAGCAATACGGACTACATCAGTACCTAAAATACAGCCTTGCCCCCTTCCGCTGACCCCTGTGAGCACAGCAGGTAGCAGACAAGAGCTATCAAGAGTAACATTGGTAACAGAGGTTTTATGACACTGTATGGTAGTGGCTGATTTAGTTCAGCAGAATTAAGTTTCACGATAAAAACTCACTAAGATTTTTTTTTAAAGGGATCAACAGAAGTCAGCTTAAGGGATTGTACAAGAATGACCCAAATTGTATCCCATTACTCAGCACAACAAGTAGTTTCAGAATCTGTCTGTGTCTGATGATGGTCCATATATATTCATAAACACACATACGTGCCAGTTGTACCAGGGAAAAAAAAATAGCACATAATTTCCAGCTTCATTTTCCATTTCTGTATTCTGTGATACTGGGCATGTACCACAGACAAATGAAATGCTGCAGCAATAACACATACAATCTGTATTAAGTTTCCTCACCTGTGACGTGAGAAGAATGATACAGCGCGTTAATAGGCAGAAATCAATTACTTATTGCATCAAAGCCCACCTGTAATCCACGAATTTCATAAAGATATTGCCAGCTATCGGCATGGAAAGAGAAGATCCTCATTCCTAAATCTGAGTCCCCCGTCTTTCATTGAGCCATTAAAATAAACTTCCTCAAAACTTTCAAGATAAAGTGAAGCAGAAGTTTCAGCTACAGAAATGTAGTGCAAAGGTTCAGTTTGGCACTGCAACATTATGGACAGACAAGAATTTATAGTAAACTCAGTTTAGATTTGGAAAAAAGAATCCTATATGTGAACCAATATTGTCAAATGTATTGCATACTATTGTAACTTCACAGTAATGAAAATCAGACATCAAGATTTCTATAGAAGCAGCAATCACAGATTGCAGTAAAGTATACCACTCAAGGGAAAAAAAAATTGCATTTTGGCAATTTCATAGTCAAGTGTTCCTTATGCTCCTCCAACAGTCATTTGTCAGATATTTTCCTGTTTAAAAGGTGCATATTGTTTCTCTTCAGTCCTCATGAGACTTCTCTGCAATGACTTTGCATTCATACTGAAAAACAGAAGTTGAAAAAATTAATAATACTTGTGTACATAACCAATGAAAAATACTGCTATGAGAGGGATTTTTCTACGGCACAGATGATAAAATAGCTTAGCTTACACTAGGTTTGGTTACCCTAAGTGTACACACTTCTGGCTGCAATTTCTACCTCCTTGAGCAGCAGAAAGAGCAGTTCAGACTTAGGGGATGGCCAAGCTTCTCCCCAGACACGGGAGCCCTTATCTAGCCCCTGGTCCTGAAAGGCCTAAAATGTGGACCTGAGAGCATACAGAGCAAAGTCCCGGGCTGTGCTCTGAACAACAGCTCACAAACCAGATCAAAAGCAATGATTACTGATTTCTAACTTATTCCACAAACACAAATCAAGTAGCTGGTTGGTATATATGAAGAAAGAAGGCAGCTGACGCCCCCTCCAAACTTACCATTGCCAACTGCCTGCCAATATTGCCCATAGTTATTCCACCAGCAAAAAATATACATGGCAACCAGGAACGAACATAAAGGAAATCCGGAGACGTGTATCTGGAAAAAACCCACACGTTTCTGAGGTCAAGTTGTGCAATACACAAAGTCCTCCAATCACAAATGACAAATCCACAAATCCAATTGTCAGGACGTTTCAAGTCAAAAAGACACACATTATAGAAATTTACTTGCAGCAAATAACAAATGAGGCCTCTTAGTCATCATTATACCATTTGTTCAGCTAAAAGCAGCACACTACATTACTGGTAACGTAGCGATTTTATTGAAATAAGAAACTTTCAACTGAAAGTTTCACAAACACAGAAAACCTTTCACGAACAGCCCAATTTATGCCACAGTGAAAATTAAGCACTGTCAGCACTGGAAATTATGTCAAATTCTACCCTTTCAGTTATTCTGATTTTACGTTACAGCTTCAGGAGACTACCATTTAACCTCGAAAGAGCAAATACTTACTGATAAACTCCATTGTAGACCAGAAGTTGTGACACCAATGTGGCCAGGAAAGCAATTCCTACTCCAAGACCAAAGCCGCTTCGTGATCTATCAAACGTCCACCACAATCCAATTGACAGGGCTGCTAATGTGAGAGACAGCTGGATATTGTTGGCAAAATCCACTTTCTGTGTTGGTTGTTAAGGATAAGCTTAGAAACATCACATACAAGCATAAAGTAGTTTTCTTCATTCTCTTTATCATACTTTGGTATGACAGAAAAAATCACCATAAAAAAATACACCACTAGCTGCCTGTGTCAGCTATCACACAGCTATCAAGTATGAAGAAATAAGCCTTTTAAGTGTTGCCAGTATATCAGGAAACTAAAACTTACGACACTTGTTCACATTTTTAGCACCATAAAAGACGATACACCTACCAGACCATGTAGATGATTTAAACAGACAAACAATGCACAAGTTGCTGTTCAGAGTAAAGACATCTCATCCTTACCTGGTCCTTTACTGCGCTAAGCATGAAATCGTAAATCTAGCATTAGACTTCTCCACATGACAGGGATTTACTGGGAAAAAAAAAAAGTATTTGTCTCTTAACTGCAATTTTGTTTAATTTACATGCTAGTTTACATTGATCTAAACATTAAAAATGTTGATTTTTTTCTATAAAACAAAATGTAAATAATATTACTGTGAAAGTATTCATGTAAATCAACACTGAAAATCAGTTTTGTCAACTCTGCGGCACAAGAGCAAAGTCACTCCAGATATCCTTGTAGTGTTTCACATCCTTCAAAACATTTTGGAAATACTAACTCACATTCGCTATTCCTTTGCAAACCAGATTATTAAAAAGGAGGCTGTCAAGTTTCATAAGCCTGAAAGCAAATTTACGGGATGACAACATAAAAATACTGCCCTATTTTCTCACAAAGACCTGGAGAGAGACCTACAGGAAATGAGAAAGAAGTTCAACTCAATGAAATAAATAATTACAGGATAAACATCAACAGCACCAGAAAAAAAACGTCAAACAAGACCAAAACCCACATCAAATAGAGCAGTGTGTAGAACTGGTAATAAGCTGAAAACAGTCTGGAGAGCTGTCAAGGGGGAAATACAGACAGTACATTAATGATGTCCTGGAATATGTGTAACAGCTGCTAGAAAACTCCAATAAGGTTTGCTGTAAATAATCTGACCCATGTAGAGAGAAGCTGTCACTTCTCTTGTATTTCTTAAAAGCAGTGAAGTCACGTGTGCTTACACAACTGGTCCAGGTCAGTGAGAACCACAGGAGCAGATTAATGCATCTCTGGCAAGGACAGCAAGGTTTTAGAGGGGCAGTGAGAATCACTGAACCCTGGCAGCTCCAGCTCATACAGCCATTCTGGATAGGATGGCTGGTGGGAACAAAACCAAACAACAACAAAACTCACTCGAGGGCCAAACCACCTCAGTAAGACTTCAGCCAGATCTCACACCTTTCACCTAACTTGCTCTCTTTTCCTGGAAATTAGGAAGATTCAGTAGCACACAATCCAGAATTTCTTCGTGCAGTTTCTGCAAACCATGTTGGAGCTGACACTGAAGGAGGTGAGAGTTCCAGAGATGATCCACTTCCTAATTAATTTACAAGAACCCAATTTTCACAGACAGATTCTGGTTTTACCTGACGGAGGAGACACTACGCATGACTACACAAACCCACTGACAATCACAGCACTGCCAGTAACGTGTGTCAGTCCACGAGAAAAGCGCCCTGTCACCCAGCATGTCCCCAGCTGCCCCAGAGGGAAGGGACACGAGCACACTTCTGCAAGGATGGATCTGCATAGCTACACAATTAGGTGGAGTATAGCACACTGCGACACGCTGGCTTGTAATTACTCCTGCTGAATGACCACAGGCATGGCAACTACTCTCTCAGCATCAAAGTATCACTTGCAGAATGGGGTAACAACACTTACTTACTCAGTGTAGTCCTGGGTGTAACTTCCGTGCACCGTGTACATGCTTCACTGACGACCTCAAGACTGGGCTTCACTGCTCTAGTACGGTGTCAAAAGCACAACAACCCTTGGAATGTCTTAAAGCACTTTTCTGTAACACCCACCACAAAAATATTTTCTCGTGCTACTTTAATTATTCAAAAAACCCACAAAGACTCTAAGTAAGACAAAGCCCAATATTGAGACATTTCCAATGAAAATGTTTTTCAGAACGGAAAGACATGAGACTTACCACCTCCAAGACTGCTATGACAGTTTAACACTAAAGCATATTCTGCATTTCCCTTGCAAAAACGCTGCACGTTATAACTTTAACAACAATTCACCATAACTGACTATGTGAGCTTTGTTTTAGGGGAAACCCATTTGTTATTGTCAATTTCATTAGAATATAGGATACAGCGCTGGCATGATTTATTCCCACAAAGACTGCTACACATCGCATTACACTGGACCATTCTCTCTTAAATTTATGTGGCTCTCCCAGATGTCTGTCCATGCATGGGTACAATAACCCAATCACAGCTGTGGAGACAGGGGAAAAAAAAAAAAGAACCAGAAGTTAAATATTTAACAATATTTAACTAAAATAAAGACTACCAGAACACATCTTTTAAGGATAAATAGTACAAAACATGCATCATAAAAGAAGAGGAATTACAAACAACTTTATTATTTACAAAAGCTCTGTAAAACTTCAGCAGCATCTTCAACTACTGCAGCAGTGACCTGGCAGAAGTAGCAAAAGAGACACAGTCTGAACTAGAAGCGGAGGCTGACAGGGCTCTGCACCCTGCCAAAACCTGCAGTCTCAGACGGTTGCTCAGAAAGAGCAGTAATAACTTTCAGGTTGGTGCTTTTGAAAATCCCACGTATCAAACACACATGCTTAACTGCAAAACAAACATGCTGTGGTATGGGCAGAGCGTGGTTTATAACATCAATATTTTGTGTCATCTTCTGTTGTTGTTGTTACAAACATTTTTTGTTTGGATAATGTCTTTCTCTTCTTCAGTGCTGCTATAAAGGCTCGCACAGAACAGGGAAAGGCAAGAGTCTGTGGTAGCTGCTAAATACAGAAAGCAAACAGGACTTTCAACCCCAGGGAACTGCTCTGCTCTTTGAACATTACTCCATACTGCAACTGCAGCTAAAAAGACTGTTACCAACACTGCTGAGGAGTAACACCAGTGCTTAAAGCCAAACTGGTGCTGCAGGAGTGAGGCAGAGTCACCTGAGTCACCTGCCCTCCGCCTGGCAGGCTGGTGGAGGTATGTTATAGCAAATGCTCTTTATTCTGCCAGAGAGGAAACTCATCTCCAGGATTCAGGAAAATAAACCACCAGGAAAGCTGGAGAGGAAAAAAACAACAACTCCCTGAGCAATTTTCTTGCCAAAGGCACTGGGCCAGACTGATGACTAATAACAGTGACGGATGAAAATACTTCTCTGAAAGCAGCCTCGATCGCCCCTGATTATAAATATGCAAAACACCTTTATTCTGTTCATAGTAATAAACCAAACTGTAGAGGAATGTTCATGACAATTCCAGGAAGGCTGTGCAAGTATATAGAGTAAGAAAATGGGTTATTTATCAGCATTTACCACAAAGGCTCCCTGCATGGACGGCAGCACACAAGATAAGGAAAGAAAACGGAGAAGACTGATAATGGAAAAGAACGAACTCAGACATCTCAACAGGGGTCACTCCTACAGGGAAAATCCAGTTAAGGCAGTCATACCTTTAAATAATCAGGTGCCTTAAAATCAAGTAGTGCAAATGCCTAGCAGGTGACTGACAACACTTTACAAGTCACATCCAGCCTTTCCATCAAAATCACCAACACACCAGAACCAGAAAGGGCTGCAAGTTGTTTGGAGAAGGTGGCAAGATCTGGCCTTCACGACCTCCCCATATGCAGCTGCAGACAGGGTTCTCCCACAACCTCTGAGAGCGTGAGGCACAGCCTGACGCAAAGAGCTGACTGCAAACTCACCGTGAACACTGCAAACCTTGTGCACTGCTCCTCCAAGCTGGGATTCTCTCACTTCGACCCCCACTGCTCCACATATAAAAGATCAAACTTGTTTGTCGAGACAACCGGTAAAAGAAAAACGCAGCAAATGCAGGATACAACCCAAAAACTAATGAACCATCATCTCAGCAAGACTTCAGAAAGAGGACTAAAGCAACTAGCACATAAAGCAGGTATGTAACTGCCACCATAACATGCCAAATGTGTTTCCACAGGAGAACAAAACTGACATATGCAGAGAGAAATCTGTAGGGTTTCCTTCCAAATTAAGCTCCTCTATGACATCTGGGGTGTATTATTTCAACAAGGTATGAAAACAAAGCTACTAGACAACCATGAAAAAATAGACTTAAATATTATTAGCAAAACAGTGATGCTGACTCAAAAGCTAGTTTTCTGATTCACATGAATACCCAGAAATGTAAACTTCTCAAACTTATAAAAACTGACCTCTAGGAAGATACCACCTTTACCGTAAAGCTTCGCTAACGTGGTACTCGCTGCTAAAAATATTCCCTTAGTAAAGCAAAAAATTGACCCATTGGATCAGAGATCTTCAAGAGCCATGCAGAAAGCTGAATTCCATCAGGCTTGTAACATGTAATAGAAGACGACAGAAAAGGAAAAACGGGTATTTCTTACTACCTTCAGTAGACATCTCGCTTCAACTAGCTGAACGCACAAAAGACTCAAGTCCGTACACAGTCCAGGGAGAAACGGAGCACGTTCAAACCATCCAACTTGATACACAAATCCAACCAAGATACCCTGCTCTGCAAGGTGCCCCACAACCACAAACTTTGCACCCGGCCTTGACCCCCTCAGACATGGTCAGGTCTCCCAGCTTCACCAGGATAAAGCGATGCCTTGGACCAGAATGAGGAACAAATAGAAACCTGGATCATAAAAGGGAGGTTTGCTGCACTCAAAACAAGGTACCCTCTGCTGCACAGTTTGATGTTTCCAGAATATTTCCACGGGCTGCCTGCAGAGCACACTCCTGTAATCCAGCCTCACGGTTACAAGTGGCAACACCTCGTAAAGTCTGTTAAACTCATACTCTAACCCCACAGAAAAAGCAAAGGTTATGCTCTGCTAACAACATTACAGTAAACCAAGTTAGCAGAACAACGATCTCTGCATGCGTGTGTGCATATTTCTGGATACACAGAGAAATCGGGAGGATACTAACAGCTCAAAAAGGGCCGTGACACTGGAAGAGAAATTCTTACCCTCCACATCTTTCATGTATTTTTTTTTAAATTATGTAACTCCCTATCCACCCTTTCATCTCCACATCAGGCACATGCACACAGCTGAACTTACCTGACGCCGTGCCACAGCAAGGGGGCACCCACCAGGCTGAGGAGAAGATGCTTGTGATCACATCAGGTGGGAAGAGAGTAACGTTTCTCTGGATCTGAAGCAAGTTTAATACTAATGCAAGAAATACGCCAATAAAAAACAGGACTATGCCACGAATTACCAAATTCATGCCACGACTGGTTACAGATGAAATGTACGGGCCACACTTTTTTGGTAATGTTGGCATTGCATCATTTTCTGCCATGACTTCTTGTATTCTGAGACATCCAACAGGCTGACTGAGGAGGATTCACTTGGAATCAGTATTTTGACTCTTCTCAATCAGGAGATACCCAAACCCTGAAAAATAGTAAAAGAGAGTGAAAAATGCAGACAGATAAAAAACATTAAATAGGTTTCCCTTAAATTGGAGACTGGGTTAAAAAAATACGGCTAATATACTCTTCTGGATTTTCTGAGGTGGCAACCAGTCATTTGAGAGCAAACCAACTATACCTGCAAAAATGCCTTACAAAGAAAACAGGTTTTACACACAACTGTCTTACAACAAGACGAGGAAGAAACACGTGGGATGGGACAGTTTGGAACACAGGACATCTACGAATGTGAAACCACAGAGAAGAGGTGAAGAAAGGCTTGCTTTGCAGTAACAATTGTTTTTCTCCTCTCCTTTAAGCTGCAACTGGAGATGATGTAATTCAGAAGCAAGTAAACACAGCCCTTAGTTTCAAGACCGTCACAGACAGTTGACAAGTGTATCTTCTTGAAGAGAGGCCAGAAAGCATTTCTCAATGGGAAAGTGAAACCTCAGAAATATTTTTCAGAATGGAGTCAGAATTTCAGCAACGCCGCAACGCATCCGTTTTCGTAACCACAGATAAGAAAGAGCAAACAGCTCCACAAACCAGAAGTAATCCCAATACAGAGAAACATTCACCAAAGTAACACACCTTTGGTGAAAACTGCCATATATTGTCACAAACCGTAACTGTAATTGGGCACAAAAGAACCTGTGAGTGAAGGGAAAAGGAGCTCCCCCTGCCCATGCACGAGGTAGTGTCCTACATGAGTAACTGCGGCACTACAGGAGTGGCATAGTTCCCACCTCAATCACTCTTTGAAAAAAAAACCCAAACTGTCCATCAAGAGCCTTGTTATACATGGATTCAATGCCACATTTGTGTACAACAACAATTTTGATCGACAGCTTAGCCACCTGGAACTTAAGAAAAAAAGCTCTGACATTGTTTTTAAATTTTAAATTTGAAACTGCCAACTGGTGGCGGGTTTTGTTAACTCTTACTTAGGGCACACAGGGAGCCAAACCAGTGCATCCATTCCCCTTCCTCCCTGGCTTCAGCAGATCCCGAGGAAGCTCTCTGAAGACAGAGCAGCAGTGCAGAGATCACAGCATTCGCTTTTGCTAACTGGAAGCCAAAAGGGAAGTTAAATATATCCAGGATATTATTTCAGGTACTACAAGTAACTGCCCAGAAGATACAATGCCACATCATGGCATCCTCCTCACTCAGAAGAAGTTCCAAGAGAGAAAACAAAAGGAAGAAAAAAAAGAATACACGACGTCTTCTACACAGCTGACTCTCCACATTATTTTGTAGGGATGAACGCGTCTTGGGGGTAAAGAGGGCAACCACGGTGTCTGGCTTCTTAGTCAGCACCCTGACTCACACTGAACAGATGTCTCCATCAAGGCTGGCACTGGTACTGCAACATACTTCCCTCAAGCAAAAAGGAGGTGCTCCACTTTTTTTTCTTTTCCTCCTCCGGATGGCAAGGCAGTGGAGCTTGGATAATACATTTAGCCTCCAGGAAAGAAAGCACGGAGTCACAAATACATCACTGTTCCAGCTGCGTGTCTCCCCTGTCCCCGGCAGCTTCACACACCAGGTAATCACAGGAACTCCTAGAATTTACAGGAGTCTTTTCAATAAAATGCAATGGAGGCAGTGGATCCCAATTACAAACTCCACAGAAACACAGCACCTAATGGGAGTTTTTAAACTGTTTCTTAGCTTTAGCTTCCCTAGGAAAACATGCTAAACTCCTGACTCTCCACTTAATTCACCATCCCAACAACTTTTGGCACTTCCTGAGGAAGAGGTTTGCCTCTTTTTTTTTTTTTTTTTTTTTTTTTTAAAATGAATGACTAGAGCTGACATATAAGATCCCAGGTTTGGCTCTCACAGCCTTCTACAAGAAAGTTAATGTTTCCATGCCTGTCTTTAAAAATTAGATCTTCTGCTGCACGTCAAGGATCACAATCTCTTTTTTTCTCCATCATAAAGAAGTTGCTCACATCCTATGACCCACTACTATATCAAGGTTTCTCTTGTTCTCTGTTACTCAGCTTGTTCATGGGTACCAGCTCCAAACCTTGGGTGCTGAATTTCAGCCAGAGGTATTATTTACTCTGACACTCAACGTCGCTCCATTTTTCCTGTGGGACAGTCCCAGTCCTCTTTGGCCCTGCAAACAGTTCCCAGCTTTGGGTCATCAGTAAACATCATTACTGCATCCTCTTTTGTGCGCCAAGGTCATCAACAAAAATACTAAGCAACATCAGCCCAAGTTCTGGTCTTTGATGAACTCTATTAATAATTTCCCCACAGCCATTATTTCACCATTTTACACTATCTCTTGGTATCTCCCTCTAACAAGACTCTGCTCCTTGTAAGTCTTCAAATACAATAATCACTAACTTAATTAAAAATCAAGAGTCCCATACGGCACTACTGACGTAAACGCCAATCAGATCTTCCTTTTTTTTTTTTCCCTAAAAATGCTGATGATCAAATAAAAGTCCAATTTTATTCTGGCATAGACCAGTTTCAGCACATAAACCATGCATTTACCCAATTTCCATTTATTTAATACATGGTATTTAATTGTGAAGGCTTATAAGATTGTAGCAGGACTTTTCCAGGCAAGGAAATCATTTACTGCTTTTGAACAACCACTGCAGTTGCTAGTTATTTGAGCAACAGATTTATACTATGAGGTAAACAACCTGACCACAGCAAGGGCGCTTGGGTGGGTACACGTCAGCGAACGTTCATAACAAGTAATGCAAGATCCCAAATTTGCGTGATGCAGTAGTTTCTGTCCTGGTTTCTCATCCTTACATATATTGTTCCTATTTGTTTTATCCCAGGCTCCAAATTTTCTCTGCTCATCAGCTCTGAGACCTTCCAGCACGTCCCAAACAGAGCAATGGGGGAAGGGCGCCAGGTGACCAATGTTCATGTAAAGACTCTTCAGTGCCTTGGACAGTCTTAAGTTCATGACGCTCACGCACGGCAAAGATATTTACTACTGATATCGTTCACGAAAATGGAAATTAAGGTCTCTAAGGAAGGCATCATCTCCTTCTTCTGGACTGGGACGCTAAGCGTGCCTGCGGACAGATGAGATGATGTCTTTCTCCTTCAAAGCCTTAAATTTTACTGAGGGTTTCCACCCAGATGGGACCAGTTCACATACTGAACCAACACTACTTCTGCACCTCCATCTCTCGGGAACGCGTATCCAAAACTGTACAGACACACTGACGGCTACGGGCTTGGCACTGCCACGAAGCCTCAGCGGCGCTTCCCCTGCTCGGCGGGGCACGGCTTCAGCCCGAGCTCTTTAACACACCCCGTGACAGCGTTTACACGCGAGTCGTGTGGCAACCGCACCGTGCCTGGAGTTGTGCAAAAAGAAATAATAGCAGCAGACAACTAAATTATCACCCTGGACGTTTTCAAAACGCTTAGTCACTTAACTGTCTCCTCGTTAGAAGATCTGTTCTGCAAGCGCTCCCCAGCGCTCCCGGTGCCCTCCCGGAGCCTGTGCGGGACCCGCAGCTCCGGGCGCACACGGACGCAGGAGCAACAACACGATGCAGCTGGGGCCGAGAACGGGAAGATTTATTTGAGCGACACAGCGAGGGAGATGGCAAAAAAGCCCCAACAAACAAACAAACAAACAAACGGTGAAA